TTTTTAATGCAAAAAATTATTCAACAGCAAAAGCGGAATACATGTGCGAAATTGTAAAAAAAAAAACTGTGGGGTGGAATTTTTTCAATCCTGAAATTTCCATTTTGCTTTTTTAATCTAAGCAAAATCCACTCCACAGAATTTTTTCTAATTTTGCAAGTTTCTTCTGTGAGTAATAGAAAGATTTTTATAAAAAAAGATATGAGGTCACCGACTTAGTTTTTAAGATAGATGCAATTGATGGTAAAAAGTGGATCAAGTTTGTTGCTATGCAATGGAACAGAGTAACCTCAATTTATGACTGAAACACAATGAATGGTACAGTGGAGAGTTACCTCAAAAAAATAGCACAGCCATTAAAAACAGTACAGTTCCAAGCCTGAAAAATCACACCTAGTTCTAAAAGTCTAAAAAAAAAAGAAAACTGTTTTGAACCACTTTAAGATTCAATACAGACCCCTGGCAGACCCGTCCTCTTCATTTGTGACGTAGTTTTCGTGTTGACGTGTTGAACGTTCAAGAAGACTATTATAGACAGGTTTGATACTATGAACACCTTCTTACGAGTTACACAAACAGGTCTTGCCAGTAGTGAGTTAACAGAGTAGCTTGTTAGTTATTTGCTATCATAAACTATTGTACTAACATCTCAAAGAGTGAAACGTTGCCAGACTATAGCCTATGAAAACCCGTTCAAGGGTCAATGTAAAGATTTTCGGAAAGTGGTTGTTTAGAAATGTTTTAATGTGTTTTTCTGTTTAGCAATATTATCTTGCATTTCACGTCTCGTATTTCAGTTGATGTTTTTAATCCTTGACCATTTTTTTTTCTTTTTTTATGTTGTTGCAGATTTCTCGCTGACCGTTTTGTGGAAGGCACTTGTCCTTTCTGCAACTTTGAGGTAAGATGTAACAGATTTTACTAAGAATCTCACTTAATGTTAGCTACGAAGACCACCTGACGGTTACTTTAGCACCAAGGTTTTGATAGCGTGCATTTTGTTGTTATCGCTTGATCTTCAAAACCATTTTGATGTAGTAAGTTAAGAAAATTGTACTTATTTCTTGCAGGATGCCAGAGGAGATCAGTGCGATGCGTGTGGAAAGCTTATAAACGCCATTGAACTGAAGGTAACGAGAACGTACTATCTTTGATGTGTTTGCTTCAGGGAGATGGCGGTAAAAAAAGGCAGTATATACAGGGAGTGGTTCCTCAAGAAGATTGCTAACAGCAAATTGATTATTTTGTATTACAGAAGCCTAGATGTAAAGTTTGCGGAGGAACACCAAAAGTTAGAAGTAGCAAGCACTTATTCTTGAATTTGACCAAGGTAGCCTTTTAATTTCGTAGTTTTAAAATCGTACACAAAAAACTGCCCAGTTTGTCATAATCAGAGGTTTCTAAGGTGGCCATATTACTATACCCCATAACAAAGAAAAATACAAATACCACAGCAAGATATGCTCTGTGCTCAGAGAATACATCAGATAAAACTCTCCAAAGAACAAAGAAGTTTGTAAGTGTTGTCACGTTACGCATCCCCCCACCAGTGGTCACGCAGTCTTAGCGCGATTTTTCAAAGTCACGCGTGACCTCACTGATAGCTACCAGGCGGAATTCTGAACACTGTTTGTAGTTGTTATTGTTGTTTTCTGTGATTTTTGTGTGGGTAACCCAAATGTCTAGCGTATGCAAGGAACATTAATTGTGTTATTTTCTAATTTCTTTAATTAAGTTTTAATCATGCTCTGTTTCCTTTTCTTTTAGCTTGAACCGTCTCTCCGACAGTGGGTTGAGAAGTCGTCTTCGGAAGGTAGGTTTAAGCGAAGTTTTGTGCTGGTATCTTTGTGTCATGACATTTTAAGTTACCTTTTGAGATGCAGAAATAATTAAATTCTTACCAAGGAAGAAAAACACCAAGGAGGCAATAGCAAACCGAATAACAAGGATGCTAAACGTGCTCAAAATATTGGCTTTTGCAGGTACGTGGACCTCAAACGCGCGCCATATTACCCGAGGATGGATCCAAGAGGGCCTCAGACCACGGTGTATCACACGTGACTTGAAATGGGGCACCCCGGTCCCTTTGGAGGGATACACGGACAAGGTCTTTTACGTGTGGTTTGACGCACCTATTGGGTAAGACAAGTTTAAAGCGTTATCCACAGTGTTAGTAAAGACTGCACAGGATGCGTTTTACAGGTGAAAATGGTCGCCCTTGGCTTTTACCAGTTTCCATTTTAAGGGCGCTGGGGAGAGATCGTTTAATTTATTGTGCCGTTACTTGATCTTTCTGGATGTTGTTGGTGTTGCAGGTACCTTTCTATCACTGCTAACTACACCAAAGAGTGGGAGAAATGGTGGAAAAACCCTCAACAAGTGAGTGATAACACCAAGCTATTTCTTTATACCGTACCTTTCTACCAATATCATTACCGTTTCTTATTGCTTTGCGAATCTTCACTCTCTCTAGTCAGCGTGCTTAACTAAAGAAATTTCTTTCATTAGTTTCCATTTATTACAGCGTTTGAGCCGTTAGTTTAGTTGTGTGGAACCATGAAAATGACGTATCGTGTAAATTTCGGGAACTGAGAAATTTGCGCGACTTTTCCAAAAACGGAAACCAACGAGTTTCCAAACGTAAATTGAGACATCTGACATCTTCCGACAAACTTGAGAACATTGAAAATGTGAATCCTTGTTAAATCTTTTCTTAGTGTAGTGTTTATTTTTTCTGTGCTACGTTTAAGCTAAGAGTAATTTAGCTTAAACAGTGAACTTTATGGTTTTGTATGTTCTAGGTCACTCTTTATCAGTTCATGGCAAAGGATAACGTTCCCTTCCACACTGTCGTGTTCCCTTGCACTCTTATTGGCGCCGATGACAATTACAGTCTTCTAAATTCCATCAGTGCCACAGGTAAGAAACCTGTAAAACTGGTTTCGGAATCCTGGACGCGTGGTTTCCAGGAGGAGCCAGGGTAGAAAGAAGGAAAGAAGCACTTTTTCTTCTTTCAGCTGCTATAACAAACGTTAATTTGTAGGGAGGGGCGATTTTTTGGGGCGCGATCCATTCAACCAAAATTGAATGGATCGGTTCGCTCCAATCGGAAAAGTTCGAAAAAAAAAAAACAAGGTCCACCTTTCGAGGTGGACTACTTTTCTCGGTTGGACCGGTCCGATCGAAAATTGAGCTTTCCATTTGACCATTTCGATCTATTCTCAATTCCAGTACCTCGCTGTTCGGTACTTTCCGTGTTCAACAGGGACGAAAACACTTATCATTGCAGCTTTTGCGGATTGCTAACAGCGGATTTATCGGTGTTACTCGTACATCCACTGATGTGCAATTAGAACAGGTTCGCAGCTGCTTCGCAAGTTAAGTGTATCCTTTGGCTTTTTGAAAACAGTTTATTTTCCGAGAGAATTTCAAATGTTGTTTTCCTCATTCGAACGTGGTGTTTGAGCTCAACCGGCAAATAACTGGGAACGGTCTGCTCAAAATAACCTGTTATACGGGATAAATTTCTACGCATGAAACAGCTTGCACAATATTATTATTGATAAAGTCGAAATACGGTCATCTAACTCTGACACGAGCAACAGTGATCTAACATCCGCCATTTCAAATAAGGGTACGAAACTCTTTTTGTGAGTGGAATGGTGCGAGACTGTTCGTACGCGTCGCAATCCGGACGCCACCAAGAAATTTTCGAATCTCAGCCCGGAAATTTTGATTTAATGGATCGCGCCCTTGGAGAGCAATATTTTGTTTGTGTTTCTTAACTGGATTCGGTTTTATTCTCTGACAATATTTCGCCTGGAAATATAAGGAGTAACATAATTCGACGTTTCGATGTATTCTTGTATTCTTGATAGTGATGTTAGATACATCAAAACGTCGAATTACGTTGCTCCTTATATTTCTTGTTAAATGCTCTAACAAGCAATATTTCACCTAACTTTAATTTAATTTTCTTTAATGGTTTTGTTCAATCCTCAGAATACCTGAATTATGAAGACGACAAATTTTCTAAGAGTCGTGGGGTGGGGGTGTTTGGTAACGATGCTGCCAACACGGGTATTCCAGCAGACATCTGGAGATTCTACCTACTCTACGTTAGACCCGAGAACCAAGTAAGTTCTCCGTAAAGTATTTTTTGAGTGCTGTGATGATTGTGCAGATAGGAATGCCCTGAAATATGTGAAGTTTTACAGCTGCCTCTTTTTTGAAAAGTTCATTTGCATCAGTTTTGGAGGTTGTATCATTTTTGGTTTCACCTTTATTCTGCTTTATATCTTGAAAGGACAGCGCATTTAGTTGGTCAGATTTCATTCAGAAGAATAACACTGAACTTCTCAACAACTTTGGCAATTTCATCAATCGGTAAGGCATGATCGTTATTTTTTATTTCATTATTTTTTGTTCATTTTCCTTCCTAAACTTGTGGGCACTTGTGCAATGCATCTACCTTCTCACTCTCATCAAACATTTAAGTTTTCCTTAGATTATAAGTTATTTGTGCTCGGGTTTCACTGCTCCATGTTCAGGGCATAAATTTGTCACTGTGTAGCCCCACCCCAAATCCTTGAATCGACTCTTTGACCCGCCGAAGCTCATTTCATTCCTCAGCGACTTGATTTTCTCCAGGCGCCTTTTACTCCGTTTAATGCGAGATTGTTGCATCTGTTGCCAAAACTTTTCATTTGAAAGTGGCAACGTCTCCGATGTGCATAAAAATGAGTACATGTGAATAACTCCTTTTCATTGGCTTACACCAGGGGTTACCGTCAAACTGATACAAAAGACAACCCAAAATGCACACATCTCCTCCGCAGAGGCTTCCTGCGAATTGAATCCGCTGACCGATATGACTGCGGATACTACTTCGCGCCAGCATTCATTTCGCACGACGTTCTATATCGAACACCCGAACCAGAGAATGTGCCTTGTTAAAGAAGCTACGTCACGGTTTGCACATCTTGAAAAGTTTAGCCTAAATTTTTCAAGTTCATCGTTTGTAATCCGTGTTAATCTTCTCCATCCTTAACCATCCTAGTTCCTGTATGGTTTATCATTATCTCTTTGGTGTTTTTCTATCTTAGTAAACTATTATTTTCAGGTTTCCTTCAATTTTTGTACGTGGCCGAAATAACTCAAAATATCGTGACTGAGCTCCTTGTTAACGTTCGCTCATAAAGAAACGTTAGAGCTCCAGGCAGAGTGCGTTGAATGTCTCTGCTTTTCTACGTTTTTGTGACTGTGAAATGAACTGTTCTTCAGAGCTTTGATGTTTGTGCACAACAACTTTGGCGGCGCAGTACCAGCCATGGATTTAACTGAGGAAGACAAGAATTTCATAGCGCTCATCAATAAGGAGCTAAAAACATACATTGACGATCTTGAGAAAATGAGGTAAGACAACCATTTACATCCAATCCTGTCCATGTTTTATTTTCCTATGCTACTCTGTCGTTTTCTATATTTAGACATTTTTTTAGGCGCTTACCACAAATGATTTTTTGCAGGCTCCGTGAAGGTTTAAAAGGCGTGTTAAACATGTCTAAGTTTGGTAACCAGTACATTCAGTCCAACCAGCCCTGGGTTCTAGTCAAGGGAAGCGAATCAGACAGGTATGAAATGTGCAGTCCTAATTATGGGAGGTGCGGTGCCCTAATGGTCACGCCCAGGTTTTTCAAAGGGTGGACAACACTATCTACCAAATAAATAGCTATGCAGTGGTTAGCTTAGTTTGTTTTCTCAACCCTTATCCACTGCATAGCAATATGTCCGGTCGATAGTGTTATCCACCCCTTGAACAACTGTGTCTAGAACGCTGAAACTTTATTCCCCCTTTATTCCACGGTGACCATACCTCCAGCCCTAAGTGAACAGATNGGGGGGGAGCGGAGACAGATTGTTGCCTGTTCTCTCTCACGTTGGTTATGTTGGTGCGTTTCTATGGATTGGAGGAATTGTTGTAATCATTGTCACATGTTTGTTTGTTTTTTGTTTTTGTTTTTTTTTTTTAGATCACGCGCAGGTACAGTACTAGGTGTGGCGACGAACCTGTCCTGGTTACTTTCCGTTCTCATTCACCCTTACATGCCTGGCGTCAGTGAAGAAATTCAACGCCAGTTGCAGGTAGGTTCGTTTGGCGTGCAGAGAAATTTTAGGATCTGGGTAAAGGTACTTGGGTAGATGTTTCTACCGTTTGTTTTTATGATGTATAAAAGGATCGCACATTGTTTACATCTTGTAGAGGAAAAAAGGGAGGCTACCTTAACGCGTCTATAAATGAACATTTAAGGCTTTAGTAATTTGGGGTCAAAAATGTTGCAGCTAGATAACACGTTCTCCGTTGTTAATTACAGGTTACGGACGAAGGAAATGTAGTCTTGGATAACTTCGTTCCTTATCTACAACCTGGTCACAAAATCGGAACGGTAAGAGTAAAAAACAAGAAAAACACTTAATTTTCTTTGTGATTATTATTTCTCAGAAAACGCCCTACCTCTTCTTGTACAGGAATTATTTACGAAATAAAAAACTCGACCTTTCTTTGTCGCTGACTATTGACAAATCAGGGATGTCTTACTTTGGAAACCTCTTTTATATGGTGCGTGACACCTTCTTCAGCCACCAGGTTGTAATTGCTATTAAGAAAAGAATAATTCCAACGAAATGACGTGAAGTTTGTCTCTTAGCCTAGTCCGCTGTTCCAAAAGATCGATGCCTCCGTTGCGGATCAGTTGCGCGCAAAGTATGGCGGGAACAAACCGAAGCAACAACCTGAAGGCGACAAATCGACCAACGCTGTTACCGAAAATACCGCTGACACTGACGTGGCGGTTTTGCAAGCGGAGATTACTAAACAGGTAAGAAATAATTCTTTTGGGGGGCTGGAGGCATGGAGTAGAAGTGGGCCTCGAGCCTGTTGTCCAAATTAATTAAGGATTATTTAAAGATTATTTAATGCTAGTGGATTTCTAATTCTAGAATCGACCCAAGCAAGAGAGGATAATTGTAAGAGAGTTAATCCTCCATATAGGCCTTATTCCTAAGGTTATTCCTCTTAAGTTATTTTTAGACATGGTACCCAGTTCGTCCGCGAATACCGTTGCCACGCCCGTTGCATGGATGTTTTCGTGGAGGATGAAAACGCGTGTTAAGCCACGTGGGTCATCTACTTGAGCAAAATGCGCGTCACATGATTGGCTATTTCCAGATTCTCCTGGGATTTCCAAAACTGGGACTGATCTAAAAATAACTTGAGAGGGTTTTCCTTGGGAATACGGCCTTTATGCGTATGGAGGATTAACTTTCTTAACTCTCAATGGCCCCAATTCTCTTTCAACGTAAGTTATTTTCCATACTTCAGCTGTAAGATGTTACCGTTTGATTTTCCCTGACCGTCTTCAAACACAATGCTATGCCAGTCGTGCTTGTCAGGGTCGAGAAGCAGTTCCCGTTAAGTCTCACATGAATGGCTTGATACCCTTTGAGAGAACAATAGAACAAACAACAGAAGCAATCCCCTGGCACCAAAACAATAACAGCTGCTAACAAGCAAAAGAATTACAAGCTCACAAGACCTGCTACAATTCTGGTTTATCACTGGCTTTACTCTGTAAATTTGTTAGTTGTGAGACGATATCCCCTAGTTGATGATTTTTGTTAATTCCTATTACCTGCCTATACTGCCATGCATTTTTATCGCATGGAAAAATTAGTTGTTCATCGCTAGTGGGTATTAAGTTTCAACACCACTATGTTTCTAGGGTGACAAGGTTCGTCAGCTGAAAGCGGAAAAAGCTGAAAAGGAAAAAGTAGAAGCCGAGGTGGCCATTCTTCTGGCGCTGAAGAAAAAACTGGCTGTCGCTGAGGGAAAAGATCCAAACGAACAGGATGCCACTTCCAAGGGAAAGAAGAAAGGAAAAAAGAAGTAAACTATGCTCTACAACCGAAGAAATTACTTGCCTTTTCCTTGCACGCCTTTCAGCTTCTCAGGTTTTAAAGCAGATGAAATGTTTCGTCTAACGACAGGGGGAATGTAACTGAACATTTTTCGAATACGCCATTTTCAATAAATTATCATGACGCAGTTTTGAGTTAGGATTGTTCCGGAGATTTTCCGGATAAACAACGAACATTCCCGAACGGACGATTGTTCTCAGACCTTCCGATTGCTGGTATGGGCGAATTTTTCACGGTGGAAGGACGGGGGAAATTTTCCAGCTAAAACTTGATGTTGATGTTGTCCTATTCATACGTCTCAGAATTCCATCAATATTGACTGAATTAGCTATACCGAGAGCCAACGCTGATCATTAGATTGTTATCCAATTGAAAATTAATGAATTATACGTTCTCCATGCGTAACAGTGTCACCTGTTTTCTTGCTGTGCAATAAAACTGAGTAGTTGAAAGAGAGTTGAAACCAGGAGTATCAGTGGTTTGTTAAACTGATCTCCCTGATGAAAGTAAATAAATATTAAAATGTGCTTGTTAAACCAACCTTTGTAGAAGTGAACATGTCTTAGTAGATGTCTTCTAGTCAGACTGTCGAAACTTTAGTTAAGAATATATACCTCTTACTAACCGAGCGCGGGGGCCGTACAGTAAGTTACGGACCGAGTTTTTTCCTCATCCCCAAGCGCGAAGCGCGCGGGCCATAAATCGAAGGGGAAAAAACGTGGATCCGTTACTCACAGAACGGACCGAGAAAACGAGGTTAGTAAGATATTTATTATATCTCTACTGTGTGTCTGACGGGTTCGGGAACGATTTCTTTTCACCCGGAACGGCTTCAAATTTTTGATCCACCTCGAAAGCAAAACGAGTCAATTTGAAATCGTTGTTAAGTGACTCTTAAGTTGTTAGCAGGTTTTAATACACAATTTTAGAAGTAAAAGAAAGGTTTAAGCTTTTACTTGCTAAAAAAGTTACAACACTTGGCGATAAATCACGAAACATTTTGGCAACAAAAACAGCTTTAAATTTTAGCGGGCCTTACGGTAGACTACGGACCGCTAAATTGACCAATCACAGCGCGCGTACTAACTGAGAGATACAATAATACGTGTTATGCCAATATCGGAAAAAATAGAGTTCTAAGCCGGTTATTCCCCGTATTTTAATGCTTGCGACTGAGGTTCGTAATACCTCGTACGTACAGTTAATGACAATTTCTCATTGAAAACAATAATAAAGCTGAGAGTTTTCGTGCAGATTATTAAACCTGAACTTTGGCTTGCAGTGTTTGAACAACGGTGAGACTGAAACCGAAACTGATTGAAGACGGTTCAACATCAGTTGACAATAACTTTGTGTTTGTATTTAACAGGTTATGGGTAATGCATATCTGAAGAATATGCCTCCAAGAACTCAGATGAACGTCAGAATTTCACTGGCTTGTAGTTCTAAGGATCCTCTTTGTGGCAAAAGAGTTTTTTTTTTTTAACCGTGTGCTGTACTAAATGTCTCGCTAATCTGCCAAACTTCTCGTGTTTTCGTCAGCGCGAAATTCTTTGTGGCGCAAAGATCGGAGAAAGATCTGTAACTCTTTCCAACTCATCCTTGCTAGAAGCCACAAGCCCGAAGTCTCCGTAGTTCGTGATCGTTCTTGATCTTATCTAATGTGAAACCAAGCTTGCTATTTCCTAGTTTATCATTTTCTTCCTTGGTAAAACGATAATGTAAAGGTATTCCTGTCTTCTCAAACAAATGATACTAAAAGAGTTCGCAAGTAAAAAATGATGAACCATGGCAACTTCCCCTCGCTTTTCGTTTGCTGCGTGCATCGACATTGATCTTCATATAAGAGTGGTATTAGCGCGTTGTTTCTCCTCTGGTTTTTGCTTAGGGTTGGAGTTTGGCTCACGAGTTTGTTCTGGTCGTAACTGTTGTCTCTCCTCTGTTCGTGTCTGTGGTGTTTGACTGTTCAAACCCGCTACAAAACGAGGTCTGCTTGTTCCAAGAGGGTCTGCCCTAACGTTTGAGATCTGTCAAGGAAAGAACTTAAGCTGTTACTAGGAATTATTGCAGGGAAGGCTTTTCAAGTTAGAGAGATGATCTATCAGCTCACTAATATGGAGAATAACGAGTCGCTTTTCACCAGGGAATCATGATCGTGCGGAAGGTGGAAGGAACGCTGTCCTAAAGAAACTTGAGGCCTGAACAATGAGTATTACTGTCAAATAAAGAGAAGAATCCTCTCAGAGCTTTGTGGATTTACAGGCCGACGCTTAAATCCGTCAACTGTGCGATAAAGCAGCTAGAAATATTGGCAGCCCCGCAACTTTGTTTTGATCACCCAACAAAACTGTGTCGAAAGAGGCACCTACAGGGTGAAATACCGTGTTTCAGGAAAAAAAAAACACAACAACCTAGGCCAAGTTACTTATTTATCTAGTGTGCATGGCCTTGCCCTCCCCCTCCCAGTAAAGAGCTAGTTAGGAAACGATCTGTTAATACCTTTGGAAAAAAGACAAGACAAAGCGTGATAGTAGTACAGAACACCACCAGCACGGACAGAACAGCGAAGGTTACATCCGGGTGATAGTCAACCACGTTGACGACCGTCATGCCCAGCGCGCACGGAAACACCACGTTGTACACAGAGATGCCGATATGGCGCGAATCATTCAACGCGGCAAATGTCACATTCCTTGTTTCCCAGGCCATAAAAGCACCAAATGCTAACATGAGACCTTTGTAGGCGTAGATAACGCTGAGCCACACACTGGGATGTGCAGACGTGCAGTCGATATAATAAGGCTTGTACTGTGTGTCCGTGGATGAACTGTATTCCTGAAAAGACAATTGAAGAAACACGCTAGTTTAGTTCTTTCACCCCCATCAAATTTTTCTGGTTTTGATAACTCCCTTTGGCTTGGTGAAGAGGTATGTCAGATTGTGCACTACGTTTAGAAAATCTTCGGTACCCAGTTCCTGTGCGGAGCGAGTGTTACCACGCGTGTAGCGTGGGTGTGTTTTTGTGAGAATAAAAAAAGCTTGCAGAGCTGCTTACTTTGACTGTTCACGTGAGTAAATTAGCGTCACAGAATTGCTTATTTCTAGACCCTCCTGGAATTTCCGAAACCGCGAGTGTCCTAGGGATTACCTCGGAAAGACGGCCTCTATAGGGGATTCACTCTATTACCCTTCATCCTCTCTTCGGAAAAGTTATCAATCTTTCTAAAATTGTTGCTTGTTATATGAGAAAGTTATACAGTGTACGCATAGAGGAGGAACTGGTCACGCTCTTGGTCACGCTCTTGGCGTGACCAAGAGCGGGATACATTGACGCGAGCAGCGTTGTCTGGACTCTTATCGACAACGGCAAATTAACCAATCAGATTGCGAGATTAGTAGCAATTGTGGTGAAAAATAATGATAGAAATGCCCTCTTCCTTTAGCCATTGCACTCGTGATGTGCCGTTGACAGCATCTCCTTTGATAATTGCAGATAGTTGTAAAATAGTCTATACTGCTATTTCCAGATCTTGACGATTGACAAATCACGTCTGGCTAAATTCACAATCCTCCGTAGGAGAAAAGATGGCGACTGGTACATTTACCCATCGCTCTTACCGCATGAGAACTTTAACAACGCTCACAGAAATGTACAGAGAACTTCTAAAACTTTCAAACCTAGCATACACAATGTCGTTAGCACAGGGACAATTATTGCAAAAATATGGCTTTCCTTGTACTTTATGGGTATTTCAAGGTTCATGTGGTATTGTGGTAAAATGTACAGCCGCCATCTTTTTTCCTACGGAAGATTCAGCATTGAGACTAAACGTATTTCAAGATAATCTTCTGTTTGTTGCTGTCTTCAGTGGTGTCAGAATGTGTGTGAAAATGAATTCAAAGGCATCAAAGTTTTGCAGACCTCTCGTTCAGAGTAGTAATTACTGGCATAAAGTGGATCGATAATTTCCCAGACCATGAGAATAAGAAGGTCGATAGATACGAACAATCCAAGCATGGCAAACAACTGGTAGTCACTGATGACCTGCAGGGAACAAAATAACAACAAAATCAGCAATTATCAGTCAAGAATTGCGTCCTGTGGTTTCCATACAGTGTAAAGGAGCTACATCACGGTTTTCGCATTTTGAAAAGTTTAGCCTAAATTTTTCAAGTTCGTCGTTTGCAATCCGTGTCAATCTTCCCCATCCTTAACTATCCTTGTTGCTGTATGATTTATTATTATCTCTTTGGTGTTTTTCTATCTTAGTAAACTACTATTCTCAGGTTTCTTTTAATTTAAAGATATTTTGTACGTGGCCAAAATAACTTAAAATACCGTGGGTGCACAATACTTTAACCGTGGTTATACTATGAAAATTAACTAAGTTGCTAGAGAACTCACCTATATGCGTGAAATAGAATTAAGTTTTGGTGCAACCTCGTTAAGGCCCAGGGATTGGGGACGGGGTGCGGGGGGAGTGGGGGGNAATTTCAAAGTCCAAAAGCCCTGGTAACGAGGTTAGTTTTTCTACTCGCAATAGGCCCTTTGCACGATCCGGTCGCATGGTACAAAATCACACATGCTGGTGAGCAAGTTCCGCAGTGGGCCTTCCAAAACAAAGGCAGGCCCAGGTGGACTGGTACGAGTGGCATTGTTTTGGAAGTCCCACTGTGCAACTTGTTCACCAGCATGTGTGATTTTGTACCATGTGACCGGATCATGCAAAGGGCCTATGAGCGCGGCAAAGATGCAACGAACTTTCTAAGGTTGCTTTGTCAATGCCGCTGACAGGTACAGAGAAAGCGTGCTCAAGACCTTACCTTACTGTAACTACACCAGTTCTGTGCGATTTTTGTACTTACCATTTTCTTTGTACGATTGAGAAATATTTTGTGAACCCTCCAGGTCTTAAGGAACATGCCACCAAACCCTAACGTGAATCCAAAGCAAGCCACCCAGGTAGAAAACTGAACAACAAGAGGAAATTAAAAAAGTCAAGAAAGCGTATTAAGGTGAAGTCTGCATACCAGCTAAGCGGCTCATCAGGCCGGAGCTTATCCCGGTTTCTTTAGCATGAAGCGATTAGGAGTATTTCTACTCCCCCCTGGATGGGATGCTTGTCCATCGCAGGGTTACCCCCCCAGCATTAATATCGCCGGTACCTATTTATACATCTGGGTGCATTGGGAGGGGCACTGTGAGACTAAAGTGTCTTGCCCAAGAACACAACAAAATAGCCCTAGCCAGGGCTCGAACCCGGACCGCTCGATCCGGAGACGAGTGCTTTAACCATGGGGCCATCTAGTTGAGCTTTGAGACCTTTAACTTATCTTTCATAGAGCGGTTTCACTTGAATGTCGAAACGTAACTGAATCGTTTTGCCTTACTATGCTACACTATTGGCTTAAAAATCTCATGCATGCCACTTTTAATCCAATCAAAAGTGAGATTAAAACCAATCGTGTCTCATATCATTCGTACACTTTTTCCCGCGCTTTTCGTCAGCTACATACATTTTCTTTGAGTGTTGATTGGTTCACTGGATTGTCTGTGTCCTTTGTGATTGGCCAGAGTGACTTCTTTGGTTTCAGTTTTACAACACTTAATCGAAAACCGCTCTAACTCAAGCACGTTTGCAATCGGATTTCAGAAATAGATTTCTTGAGAAAACAAAACTAAAACATTCTTTTGTCTATTGTCTTTTGTCGTGTAGAAACTGATATTGAGAATAAGAGGCTCAATTTTAAAGCTACTCACCCTGCAGCGTAAAATTGCTTCAACGTCAGCGCTTACAAAGTTACCGTCAATGCCGAGCAGAATCCCGGCGATGTAAATAAGAATCGCACCAACCACAATCACGTTATTCATACGAGGACTTGATAATTTGATATACCTGCAAACCCGTATAAAATACGTTACTTCATTATATTTCACCGCACGATTCAGTTCGTTAACAAATATTTTTAGAAGCCCTCGAAAACACTACTGCTTTACTTCCTTCCTTCATAGAAACCAAATGATCGGTTTCTCCGAAAGCGAAAACATACTAATTAACACTTTATATATTTAGAAGTCTTAAAAAAGGTGCGCGTGTATTGTAACTATTTTTGTGTTTTTGGCACCTGCTGTCCGTCATTATTTTCTGCATGCTTTACGGACCTAACTTAAGCCTTACCTATGATTACTGTGGCTGATGTTGAATGCCAAGAAAGCTACGGCCATTATGATTCCCAGGACTTCCACCGCACAGAAGAAAGCGAACAAACCAATGGAAACTGTCAAAAGTTTGTCGACTGTGGTCATTTGGTCCACTGGAACGCTGCCGCCTGTGAACGAATGTGACGTGATAATTCCACTTTGAATCGACTTGCAAAGCATAGTTATGTAGCATGCTTATAACTAAGTAGGAGTTGGTAATCTGTTCAGGAAATGCCGTTCCTGTTGAAGTGCTCATTAAACAGAAATTCTTTTATGTCTGCAGCCACACGAATCTTAGGCATCGTCTACATTACGCTCGAGAATATCTGAAAACCCCCAAATCATCGGCTATATTGGATTTGTGTGTGTGGAAAACTCGGGCAGAAAAATCACGTGATTATCGTAATGTCATCATTTTCGAAAAGCTCCGTTTTTAAAATGTTTTCCGTCCATGTTATCGAAAAGCTGAAGTTTTCAACTTCCTCCGGTTTGAAGAGCGTTTTCGAAAAGCTCCGTTTTCGTGACGGATTAGTGTAGACGGTTGGCCTAACCGTAGAAAGGAAGTTGCGTTTTCAAATTTCTCCGGCGTAGTGGGACGGGGCTCAAATTGTTAACCCATCAGCTGTATTGACTGTTTAACAGTGCATCCAAGTTAATTACACGCGACTCACCTTCCCAAACGAACTTCGAGGATTCAAGAACAAGCTTGTCTGTTAACACTGTGTAGTTCCCCAGCATTTTTGTTTCTTGGTCTGAAGTAAAACCAATGACACACATAATTAGTATTGGTGCTTTTCTGACCCGTGACATGGCTTACAAAACATATATATTCAAAATCACTTAAATTCATCTTTCGTTTAATTTTGCGGTCAAAGAGGCGATGGTCTTTTTCCTCTGAACCTAATTATAGAGCGGTTTTTATTTCAGGACGTGTCGAAAAGTAACTGGTTTAACATCACTACGCAACACGATTGGGTTAGAGCGTTTTTTAATTGAGTGTCGTAAAACCAAGACCAACCCATTTACTTACCAATTAGACCCGCTATTCAGCCAATCTTAAAGCATAGTAAAACCAAAACCAAACCCAAAGTAATTACACTAAATTGAAAACCGCTCTAAAAGAATTCGGGCCACTTCTTCATCCAATCAGAAGTAAAACGAAAACCACTGGTGACTCATTTTCACAGTTTTCCCGCGCTTTCGCGTCAGCTACATGTATTGACTTCGAGTTTTGATTGGTTTTCACTGTATTGTCTGTGCCCTTTGTGATTGGTAAGAGTAATTGCTTTAGTTTTGGTTTTGCCGAACTCAATTGAAAACCGCTCTTTTCGATATCTTGTAGAGCGGTTTTCAGTTGAATGCCGTAAAACCAAAACCAAACCAGTTACTTACTCAATTAGACTACTCGGCCAATCTCAAACAGTGGTAAAAACAAAAACAAAGCCAAAATAACTGGCTGATTATTTTCGACACTCAAATGAAAACCGCTCCAAAAAACAAAACAAGAGCAAGATTAACAACTAGTACTACAAAATAAGGCAACGGTCACAAAAGTATTTTTTAGGGAAAAAGTTAATTCATTTAGAATCGCACACATAAGAAATGTTGTTATCGAGGTCTCTGTGATTTCATTACAAATGTTCCCCCAGGCCTACTGCCGAGGAATTCATGAACTATAATGAAGCAGTTTTACATTTTTTGCCGGCATTTCAAAGGAACACTACAGTGTTCTCACCTTGCATTTGGCCAACTGTTATCACTCCTTTTCTCTCTCCTTGTTTGTTAAAGTATACGCGACCCTGTAAGTTGGTAGAAAACTAGTTATCTCCTTCAGGTTCTGTATGACTAGCTAAACCTAGGCATGTTTTGCTGACGTTGAAACATCAATCACCAACACAGGAGGTAAGGGGACTACCCAAAACAGGACTACCCACCCCACCCTGACCATCACAGTACACTAACTTCTGGGCTCACACCGTTGTAGTGCAAATAAAAAATAATGATGGAGAAGCATTGCAAAAAGAAGCCCTTCGGGTTTGCGTTTCATTTTTTGTTTCTATTTTTTTACGGGAAATACAGCCTGGGACGAGGCTGCAGGTTGCCTTGACAACCGCTCTCACCGAAAATCCAAGAAATGTGACTTCTGACAATGAGTTTTTGAACAACTGTGCCATCTCCGAGTCGTCGTAAGTAAAATTCGCCAAGCTTTTATTTTTCCTGGCGAGGACTTCTTCTGACTTGTTCAGAGCTAGAGCCATGGCGATAACGGCATCGTATGCAAAACCTGAATAAAATCCAAGCTCTTCGACTTTGTCCTTCCATTTGAGATAGGTTTTCTAAGAAATGACATAAAAGTTACTTGTCAGTCTTCGTTCCCTAGTGCTTTCCTCGTAGTATTACAAACAAGTTTTCCCCAAGTTTTCACCAAGTCTTAAATTTTTGGTCTTCTGATACCCCTTACCTCGCCTCCTATTATGTCCGGTGAGTTGGGCCCGACTTTCAGGAACTCCGTGCTGATGTAATTACCGAAGGCTTCGATCACGTGCTTCGTCTTGCAGCTGAGCTTAGACGCATGAACAGCGTGCTTGTCCCACCAGCGGGGTTGGTACCAGTCTATCAACAGCCAGACGTACTTCTTCCCATAAAAGCCTTGCTTGTAAGCCTGGAAACGACGGAACAAAAACGCTGTGAGAACTGCGATTATAAGGGCTTTGATTTCGGTACTAAGTGGCAAAATACCTGACAGAAAACCTCTACAGCCTTTTCCTCTGAGAAAAGTCCAACAATTACTCGAGCATCTCTATCCTAAAAATAGGTAAAAAAAAAAAAAAAATACGGCATCAAGGCTTATCATGGAATAAATGTTGATAAAATATATTTTTTTAGCCACAACAACTAACGACTATACCATCTAAGTCTTTCCCCAGTCCATTTTGACTGTATTACGTTAAATAAAGCATTCTGTTCTATTCTATTGCTTGAAGGTAGCATACATAGTGTGGTTGAGTGAAATGTTTCTAGATCTTTATTATTACGTAGGTTTACCCTTATGCAAGTTCTGGAAGATTAGATGTGCTGGATCTAATCTACCTTAAAAAGAAAAAAAAACTGTTTGGATTACAGCTGCACATGCAAGCTCGTTCCCAGGACCTTTCCTTCAACAGTTGGGAGACCAGGCAAGGGAAAGAGCTGGGAATGAGGGGGCTGCTGCGCATGTCGATTTGCATTTTTGTTTCTGGTCGCACACTCTACCTATGCACTCTACCTATGCATTGGTAATTGATTCCCTGAGGATTATACACATGAAGTGTATTAGAATTTACACGTATTCCACCCCATTACTCTACTCGAGGCCGCGAAAGCGACGAGTTTGGCGACCCACCCAACGGGTAAGTTGGGCTTGATCTAGCTGTTCGCTTCTATTTTCGCCTGGTCTTGAACTTGTCCCTGGCCAGAGTGATTCCCCATAACATATTATCATGCTACGAATAACAATACCTAGGGTAGAATATTTCGCTATTTACTTCGTCCCTCACAAAGTTAAATTTATTATCATTAACCGCCGGGCGCTTCCTACCTTCAGTATTTTGATTGGAGATTCATGAATTTCTTCCTTACTGTCACCAAGTAATTCCTGAGCCACGATTGTAATGTTGTTGTATTCAAGGAGTTTTGTCAGACTCGCCAAAGCCTGTGAAGTAGTTCCGCATAGATGAAATAAATTATTGTCGCAAAATAACTTGTCTATGTTATCTACGTCATCACAACGCATAACGTCTACGTCACATCAAGTCTTATCACATAACGTTACATCACAGTACGTAACGTCGGATAACGTCAAGTCACATGATTACACACCGCATCTATCACATCACATCACATCACATCACGTCACGTTACATCACATCACATCACATTACATCATATCACATCACATCACGTCACGTCACGTCACATCACATCACAACACATCACATCACATCACAACACAACAAGTTACATAACGTCCTATTACATCATATTACATTACGTTATATCATGCTATATACGATACATTATTCCACATCACCTATAGTAAATCTTCCTGAAGATACTCAAAGAGTTCAATCAAAGTTTTGCATGAAAATGTGTGAACAAGTAACAAACAACTAGTTAACCACAGTTACTTGTCCGTAAATAAGTATCATTTATAGGCCAGTTGAGGTTGTCCTTTCTCATTTTTGTGCGCTAACTTTATTTGTATTTTTTGTTCTTGAAATCTACTTGTACGTCGAGACCAGTGTATGGTTCCTTCTTTATTTTCAGTAACTAACTTCTTTGCAATTGATCAACCATCTCGAAAACAAATTAGACACCTTACTCTTAAAAAGCGTGAATAGCGGTTTTTGCTTACAGCTTCGTAGTAAGGCTCCCTTTCCGTTACTATGGCAATCCGGTCCCATTTAAAATACTTCAGCACAGCTACGCGACCGTGATTGTGGCCCTCCTCTGGAGGTACAGTTCTGAAGAACAGTGGATATTTTTCTTTGTCCGATAAATAAAAGGAAGATGCACCATAGCTGACCTGCAGAGGACGAACAAAAGGACCATTAAAAATAGAAATAAAGCTGCGTTTTCAAATTTCTCAGACGTAGTGTGTACAACGGAAAAGCAACTATAGAATTTACATTATAATGTGTTCAAAGTTTTGTCTTGTGGCTTTAATATCACCACACAAAAACCTGTCTTGAATTGACACCCACATTTTTTGCCTAGCATTTCAGGCGCCTTTGACAATTTTTGATTTGTGCCTCGGCCCGTCTGGTACCAAAATTTGGGTTTTTTAGAATTGCGTTAATGGTACTTTTGACGCCCCAGCAAAGCTCTGAGCGGATTCGTTCGGGGCACGACAAGCCCTTAAAAACAATGATGCATTTTTTTGTGTGTTTTTTGTAGACTACGCACCCGGAAATGTTTATGCACAGGAAGAGCAACTGAATTTGCCTTGTGAATTCAATATGGTCTTTCCTGTGGCTTATCAATGCCGGCACAAAATGCTCTCTATAATGAATATTTCTATTTCATATGTCTATTTTAATCTATGCCTACTTTTGTAGAACAGTTTTCAGTTTTTGTGGCTCAAATTAGTCTTTTTGCTAGTTTATAGCTTTTTCACGATATTTTCAACGCGCATTTGATCATCTAAGTGAGTTTGATCATCATTTGCGCTATATAAACTTCAAATGTTATTATTATCATTATTATTGTTATTATTACAAAGAGCTTTCGAGTTAAGAGGGACAAGTTTCGCGTGCTCATTCAACGCTCTACCGTCTCTGGCACACAAGATAAACTCTCGACTGCTGATTGGTTACAAGCCTTTTGACTGACACACGTATGTACCTGTATTAGGTTCATGAGGTGAGAGCACTCGGCAATAGGCCTGGTAGCGGCACTGCATATTCCCCCAAGGAGCATGATCTTGGTCGGCGGTTCATTAACGTGTTGGAACAGAGCCTGTACTCCATGACCTAACTGAAAAAACAAAAAAAAAAAAAATGAAAAAAAAAAAAAATTATCATATTGAAATAATTAGGGGAGCTAAGAATTATTAAACAGAACGGTTGTCACTTTCTTGATTTTAAGTGTGACTTCATATTANAAAAAAAAAAAAAAAAGAAAAAAAAAATGAAAAGACGCAGAGAGGAAACTAATATGAATTTTCCACTTCAAAAATAACAGCTCATATGCGCTTGAAAGTTTTGTTGTTTAACGCTCCCAACATCGCAGTTAGCCAATCAGAAGCCGTGTCTACTGTCCTGGTATCTTAAGATATCAAGTCACTGACCTGACGTGGCTAGAATTTGTTTATTTATTTATTATTTAGTTTAACCGTCTGTCTTTTATAACAATTTTACACAATGTATCAATGCATGGCCATGGGCGTTGGAGCTGGGGGGGGGGNGGGTGGTGGGCGAGGGGAGCTGTGATTTTTCGGAAACTGAATGCTAATGATTCGGGCAACGACACTTGAGAGAAAACATTACAAAATAATGCTGTTTGCGTGGTTTCTAAAACTGGTAAATGAGGTTTCTAGTTAGTTACTTTTTTTTAGAATTTTTTCTTTGAATAAGTTTTAGATTTCACTCGGATTGAGACTGTTGATAGAGTCTGATTGATTGATTATGTTAGCTTTGAATAGAACTATTTTTGGAATTATAGCAGTTTCATTAGATGTGGAAATTGTGCACATTTTTGTTTTTCATGCAATTTGAGTACGTTTGCATCCCGATTTCGAGAATCTCGCACTCGGGCATTACGCAAATTTTTCGGACAAGAAAGTCACAGCCCCCCAAGTCCGAAAGTGCCCTTAAGCCAATGTGTACTTATCACTACTCACGATGACTTCGATAGTGTNATCAAAGCAACACTTCCTAGTTGATCATTTTGCTTGTTCTCTTAATCAATTCTTTTTCTAGAAAATTCTTGAAGTATTAAGAAGAAATTTGTAATCTGTCCATTTTGGAACATAATTACGTGTTTCTTTGTTGACTTATCACCTTAGTTCCGTTTCATCTATGGCAGCGAATTACGCTGAGTTCAATTTCCCGATACACGCTACCAATTTACTAAACACTTCAGACTTTTGGGCACCGGTCAGGTAAGCTTAATAGGCAACACAAAATTGTGTTTGACTATCAAGGCTTGAATTCTGAAAGTTTATTTTAAGCAGTTGTTTGATATAACGTGCATAATTCAGAAAGCTTCAATAATGAGCTGAGCTGAGAAGCAGGAATATATCAAAAAGACAAAACAAAACAAAACAACAAAATACTGTTTTGCTACAAAATAAAGGAAATTATTAATCAGACATTAAAAAATATTTGGCATCCTCTAAAACGAAATACATTTATCTGTCAGGGATTTCGGGATGAGAAGAGTAAAGCAGAGCAGTTATTTATTTGGAAGTTCAAGGTTCTTGCATGCAAACTAGATATTAAAGTGTTAAAATAACAATGTTCTTTGAAGCTAAACAGTCAAGCATAATCCACGCCCATTTTAGTTTTACTCGTCGAGCCGTTCACGAAGCTCTGGACAAAGGGGAAAACTTTAACTGCTCAGTGCCAAGTACATAGAACTGGGGTGAAAAATAAACTTGGTGCTTTTACCTAGCTACGTTTAGCTTAATTAAGGCTTACAAAATGCGATAAGACTTGCACTCACCTTGGTATCACGCCATTCTATGGCCAATTCATAGCCAGGAAGAAGTTGTGATCGCTCATTTATGAATCGAATGGCTTCATTTACGGTCTTAACGATGCCTGAAGAGTTTTGAAAGGTCGTCATTGCTCCCGAAGCGTACAGTCCACCTATTGTTAATAGCTCCCTCCTGTTATTTGCAAGCCCTTGACTCGTAGTGTACAAAGAGCACAAATACACGACCAGCTTTAAAAATGCCCGGAAGGACATCTTCGAACTCGCGGAGAATTGCTCCCTCGACACTGGGAAGTAACACACGAATAAGGTCAAAACTGAGGCGAAATCTTTGTCAGCAGATCTGTGAAGAGAGTTTAAAGAGGCGACAAAATGTCGTAGGGATTAGTAAAGGAGGTGAATTTGAATAAAATGCCAAGCAACTCGAAACGCTTAATTAATTGTTTGAATTTGTCAATAAAAGACAGGTGCAGCCTGTTGTTCAATTAAAAATCCGCAAGTCCATCAGTAAGACGTAAATGCTAATAATAGCAAATAGAACGTTGCTCTCCTAATCTTTTCGGTAATTACAAAAAAAGAAAAAAAATTCACGCGGAGAAGTATATTAAAATGACAACTAATCTAAGAATAACGTAGACCTTTCTACAAATATCCGGATAGTTTTTGTGATATTGAAGAAGTTTCCGAGATATTCAGTAAAACATGAAATTTAGAAAATTTTAAGGGTATTTCAAGATGGATATTCCTTGCTTTTTTTTGGCGTACCCCTCTGTATTCCTCGCTATTTTCTCCAAACAACATATATTAGGTTCTATACCACAAACAATCCAGTTCAGGGACTTCCCACTCGAAAAATGTAATCCACTAAAAGCGCTAAAGCAGAAATTTTCAAAATGGCGGATGCTGGTAACATCGAAGCGCTTGAATCTTCCTCCTCAAGTCCTTCTACTGTAAGAAAGTTTTGAAAATTTTGGCCAAAGGGTTTCAAAATCGGTTTATTTTTAAGACAAGTATAAGAGATATTTAGAGGATTTTTCGATATATTCAGAAAATTATTACGATTTTTAGAAAATGTTTTGAGAATCTCCAGAAAGGTGACAGTATTTTTATGCGATTTTACGCGATATTTGTGAAATGCTTAGGATATACTTTAGTTCGTTCGACGACTTTTTGGTTGACCGTCGTCAAGCGAAAACATGACAATTTTAAAGTGCTTTTAATGTGCATATTAATTTGTGGCAAATATTTACACACTTGGCTTGTAAGTCTACATTAATGAAGGCAACCAAACATAATTCAGTTACTTGTTCATTTGACAACAAAGCGATATAACGTCAAATCGGTTGGCGAATTTTATCGAACTCAAGAAATTCAACAACTATAGCTAAGATATAATGGGCTCAACCAAAATCAATCAAAAGTGCCTTTCTTAAATGCAAACTCATTTCTTGCTAATTCGACAGCTCGCAAATATAAAAAAACGTCAAAATGATTTTGCGCGCATGAATTTTACTGAATTCACGAAATAAAACAAACCTGATGAAACACAGTACTGACGAGGTGAACTGATCTAAAACAAAAAAACAATTCGCGAACAGTTTATAATGACACCGCGCCACTGAAATATTACGGTTCGTATTTATTTTCCGTGGAAGGCTCTCGTGCAATTAAGTTCTATTTTAGAGCTATCTCGCTGATAGATCTTGTGGCGACGAATTATACTACAACATCTCCATTGTCCTAAACAGATAACTTGTGCTGTCTATAAACGTAAACTGAAGTGGAGCGAAGGGGATTATATTTTTCATTCAAAACATTTTTCTTTTCTGATTGTTTGATTTTCCCCAGTACATTTCTCATAACTAGTTGGTGGAACAAATTTTGAACATTTATGTCATTCGTGCAATCATTTTACTTACTATGTTAATCGTAAAACAGAAAAGAAAATCAGACGAACGACGTCATAGAACAGAAAGCGATGGTTGTCACAGTGCAGAGCTAGAGAAAGGGAAAATGGATGGAAGATTTCAAACACTCAGCGAAGATGCAATACCGTGTTACTGATTGAAAAAGATACCAAGAATATGCAGATACAAAAAGGAGTATACCTACGATAAAAAATCCGATCCGTTCACTTCCTAAATTTCTGCCGTGGAACTGCCGCTGTCGATTATTTTGAAAAACTATAATTCTACGCAGAACTTAAGGAGTAAAAGCTTTGCCACTTTTACTTCATTGACTTTCACAATTCATTTTTTGACTTGACATCCAACTTAAACCCTAGCTGGGAACGAAGTTGTTTGACATCCTGTAAACTTTGAGTGTTGTGAACTTGGTATGTTGTTAAACTTGATGAAGTAATATATTAAGTCATATTTAGACCGAAATCAAAATTGTTCTTTTTCAGTTCTGGAATTAGATCAAAGTTTGGTATTGTATATTTGAAGGGAAATCGATTTTTCCATGGAGAAGATAAACAGAAAAACTCAAATTCAGTATAACTTATGTTTGCGCGAACCAGATTTGTTCCAAAAACGTTATTACATGTATCGACAACTTAAGTAAACTACAGTGAACTGCAAATAAAAGTAACAAACCATAAATCACAAAATAACATTTTAAACCATAGTTTTGCATAGTTGCCCCCGCAGGGTTAGGAGGCATTAACAGTGGCTGCCGCGTATAAAGAAGTAATGAAATATTGGTAATATCTGCAGTATGCGAATCAATACCGATTTGAAAAAACTAGGCGCGCACGGTGGTCCCGGTTAATTTTTCGGTAAGCTGAGCTAAGACACTCCAATATGGCCTACGTGACGATTTTAGCGCGATGCAGTAATTGCTAAGATTCTAGAACAAATTGAAAACGATTTCAAAGACCCTGAAGATGGATTTTGGGACTTGGGAGGAAAACAACGATATTGCAAAAATATGGCTTTCCTTGTACTTTTATGAGCTGTGTTAGGTTCGCATGGTATTGTGGTAAAACGTACAGCCGCCATCTTTTTTCGCTATTTTTACGTTTGGAATCTCGTTTGTTAGGATCGCCATTTTGTATTGAGTGATCTTACGTGGCGTAGAGCTCATGCCACTGGGTGACTTTGCAAGAATCCAAATGTAAATGTAAATGATGGGAGCTTAGTTTTGCATCGTTTTCGTTGAAGGCATGTAACTTGACTCTTATTTGCATATTTGGGAGGTTGCCATGGTGACTGTAACGCGATACTTCAGTTTACGTCCCGGAAAAAAACAATCGTGAGCAAAGTCCAGATGATGCTCTCTACTTCTGTTCTGCTTTCGAGATACGTTTGCTAGTATAACAAGACAAATGGTTTGTTTCGATCA